CACAAAGAGCCAAAAAGTTGTAGGGAATCAAGATCTAGCTTACTGTGCATGACAAATAAGTCCATTTTGAAGTGCAGGAACATTGAAACGAATGGTCACAAAACGTACTAAGTATCCCACTAGTATCCGGGTCCAATCTCTCTGTCACCAAAACACAAAAAGCTTAAAGTAAAATGCATATCAAGATGAATATAGAAGATAAATTGGATAAAAAAAACTCTACTAACCAAGACAAATGGGGCAAGAAGGCAACTCAGTGAATCCTACCGGAGGTGTGCTAGCAATCTCCCCCGATTCTGTATATTCCACGGAATGCGTAAAGAGGATATGGCATAACTCAGCCTAACAAAATTCAACCCAATAATCAAACTAATTACTCAAAAAATCAAAATGTAGTAACTTGAGGCAAAGGTTACCAACCTCAGCAGGTGAAAACCTCTTCCCATTCAAGCTACTATGAAATCCATCTGCCGCCAACTGATCAACTAGCTTTATTAACACGCTATACCTATCCTCAATTCCATCATTCCTAATTTTACAAAATACAAAAAACATTAAAAAGAAGACATTTTTTTTCCTTTCCCCCCTCCCTTTTTTTTTTGCTACAAATTGACTACCAAGTAATCAAAAAGTTGACTTTTTTCTTCTACATTGAAGATGAATATTTTTTCCTTTTCTTTTGAATTCATGCAGTTGGGGTCAACAATGATCAAAAGTAGGCGTGATGAAGGTACCTGCTGAAGAGAAGGTGGGTGATATTTTCGAGGTGGGTTCCAGAGAATCGAATGAAATCGGCGACGGAGAGGTAGTTGGGGACGGCGACAACGAAGAGGGAAGTGGAGCGAGAACTAGGGTTTGGGAGAGAGCTTTGGGAGGCCTTTCGATAGAGGTGAACAACGCCTCTCCTTTCGCTGAATATAGGGCTAGGGTTTGATGGGGAAGTGATTGTATAGAACTCGATTTCTTCGTTGGTGGTGATGGGTCGCTCGTCGTCCACTGAGTGGACTCGGAGGATGAACATGATGGCTGAGTTTTCTCGCTTTGGGAGTTGGGCTATTCGCGGGAAAGACTGACGCCGTTAAAAGAGTTGCTCCATGAATTTTCTCACTCTCTCTTTCTCTTTTTTCCTTTTTATTTACTTTAGTTTTTTTCACTAATTTTATTGTTTGAGATACCCACCAAATTTCTGTGTTTATAAATTTTATTCAATTTATTTATATTCAAAATCAAAATAATTTAATATTTTGATTTTAAGAATTATTTCAGTTTAACCTTTATCCCAATAATATTCAATTTAATTGTTAACATAAATAATATTAATATTAACAAGACATTGACGTGACATTTTTGATGATGTGATAGTGTCACGTGACATAATATAATTACATGACAATACTAATATAACATTGACATGTTGACGGGTTAATCCCATGTGACGTCATAGAGATTAAATTAAACAAAACTGTATAATATAAAAATTAAATTGAATAAAATTGAAATATTGAGAGATTAAATTAAAAAAATTCAAAAAATATAAATTTTTAATTAAATGATACATATTTTTTAGTAAGTAAAAGATTTTTGGTGTTAAATATATATATAAATATTGTTTTAGTTGATTATTTGATTTCGAAATAAATACATTAATTTCTCTTCTTAATAAAAATTAAGTTTGATTTCCTTTTTTATAAAAAAAATTAGATAAAAATTTTATAACTAAAACCAGATTTGGATAAATAACTTACATTACCTTGGAATAAAATAATATAAAAAATTAAATAAAATTTTTTTATAATAGAATAAAATATAATTTAGTTACAACTTTTAAAATTTACAAATGCCCATTTTTTTTGACATTATTTAACTTTTACTCAATTTACCTTTTATTTAAATTTATTTAAATTTTTTATAAGACTATTTTATATATGTTTAAAAATCACAATCAAATTTTGTTAAATTTAAATTTAAATTATTAATTTGGATGTACAAAAAATTCGTAAATACAAAATAAAATGACACAAAATATTTTACAATTATATTTAACTCTATCAGTCATAGGTGTAGTTTTTAATTCAGAAAATTTCAACATAAAAAATAACTTGAAATATTAAATAAAATAAGAATATAAAAAATAAACAAAAAATTGAATGAGTGCAATAAGAGATATGTCATACCTAAATTGAGCAAGTTAAAATAAAAAATTATTTTTATAATTATTGCTAACTCCATATTTCCCTCCTTTATTTAAAAAAATCGAAACAAAAAACAAAAAGACTCAAGCACGCATAAACATTGTCATAATAGAGCTATTTAGTTTTTTAAGTAAAAAAATTTTAAGAAAAAAAACATAAATCTGTCATCATTGTCCTAATTTTACAATAATTAATCGATGAATTAAACTTCTAATGAGAACAACAAATGATTGAGAACAAGACTTCGGGGAGGCTAAAGAGAAGAATAGATATTGTTTTTTATAACTGTAATAACAAAATTCTAATTTAAGTGTTTTTAGGATTTATATAAATGACGATGTTGTCTTTCTATAAGTACATATCCAAAATACAATATTAATTTTTTTTTTATAAAAGAAAAATTCAAACTTAATATTAATATTTACAAATAGATAAACTAATATACATATTATAAAGACACAATTTTTTTTTAAAAATTTTTTTCTCAATTTGTCACATCATCATTACCACGTGATATTGACACGTTAATATTGTCACATTATCATATTAGTATCACGTGACACTATCATGTCATTACAGACAATGTCACATGATATTATAACGTTATCATGTCAACATTAACATTATATCATTTAACGGTAAAATTGAATACTATTAGAAAAAATAGTTCAATTGAAATAATTATTAAAATTAAGAGATTAAATTATCTCGATTTTAAATACAAATACCAAATTGAACAAAATGAGTAAGAATAGGGACTTGATGGGTATTTTGACTAATTTTTATTTGATATTAGAATTTCACTTGCATGTTGTTTTGGGGTAATTTTTTTAATTAAATGATTTTTAGTTTAAAACATTAATATATCTTTTTACATATTTTCCTATATATGCTAAACTCGTTCACAACATTTATATATTGATAATTAATATTAATTAAATTATTTTTCATATTAATCATATTATTGTTGATATGATCAATTAAGTTTTCTATGAATTTGTTCTTATATATGGGTAATAGAATTGAGTATAAAGTAAAATATGAAATTGGCATTTAAATATTTTGTTTAATTATAAGTGCAGATGTGATTTTTATGCATCATATGACTTCTCATATAATAATTATAAATATATTACATATAAAATAAGTAAACATTTCAAATGCATTATTTTATTTTATTTTGTTTTAAGTAATCAAGTCTATAGCTTTTATGTTCCATAGTTTCTATTTTTCATTTCTTTCTTTTTTAAAAATTATAAAAATAATAGTATAAAATAATTTTTTTTAATTTTTTTAAGTAAACGTATAAACATAATATGGTTACCTTCTAAATTAACATGTTTGGAAATATTGCATTGTCCTTTATAAAATAAAAAATAAAAAATAAAAAACTATGTTTTACGTTTTGACGTGTTACTTTTCGTTAACCCTCGTGAATATTGTCCATTAATGAATGGTCGGCACCACCCTTGCTTTATGTCAAAGTTGTCTCCCAAATTCACTTCGAGAGATTTCTTGAAGCTTTTGGTAGCTTTTAGTATTTGGGAGTAATATAGTTAAATTCCAAATAAAATAAAAACTTATATTTCCTTCTTTTATAAAGTATTCAATTGATTTGTTGGATAAGAATCAGAAAATGAGAGAAAAGTCATAAAAAAATCTTAAAAAAGAGATTCAAAAATTTTTAATTAACTAAATAAATAAATAAAATTATAAAAAGGTTCTTATTGTCTTTTTACAAAAACACAAAAATTGAAATTTTTACACTACCATCTATGTTGTAAATAGAAATAAAATACAAGATTTTATATAAAAAAGAACTCAATGTTCTATGTAAGAAAATGCCGATTCATGTAGAGTTTTATCTTATTTTAATATATATTCATTCTAAAAAATCCAAGTAGGTAAATATAAGTGTTATGGATCCTACTTTAAATTAGATCTTAGCTTTTTAGGGTTATAAATAAAGGTCTTTTCTATTTAATATGTATGTTTTTTAAGTTAAAATTGTAAATTTGTGATAATTAATATTAAAGTCTGTCCAACTCTTTATAAATGTGAGACCGCCTTCTATACTTATTCCACCTTAAATGAGTAATGAGTCTTGAAACTTGTCAATATGTCTTTATATCTCTCAGCAATGAGAGATAAGGATAAGTTTTAAACTTATAAGCAAAAGTTTTCTTCTATGTAAAAAGTCTATTTTTGGATTAAAACGTATGAATGGGTGACACAAGCACGTGAATGAGTTAATCTTTTTTGTTGAATTATGCTGGATGATTCAAAAAAAATATTGAAATACGCATAAAAAAAATTACATAAAATTATGAACTACTTTATTATGAGTGTTTAATCTATTCTTACTTCAACCAATCTATCTCTTTTATTTTCACTTTTCATGATGTTTGCTATTATATGTTATATTAATATCTTGTTTTTTTTTGAAATAATGTTTTAAAAAACTTATTAGTTATTCAAAAATATTTAAATAAATATTTATTTTTATCAATTCAATCAAGTTTTTTTACTTTTATTAACTCTCTTAACTAATAGTTGATTAATTACTCTTAGTTAAAATATCCTTTGTCATTGTATATTGACATAATGTTAATGAAAAAAATAAAAATACTATATGACTATATCATCATGTTATATCAACATGCTATATAATCATTTATTATGACAAGTTAATAAGTCATCGTTAATGTCATGGTGGTATAGAATGACAAGTGTTATTTTGATTAATAATAATCAATTTACTATTAATCGTTAAAAGTTTATTTAACTAAAAATAAAAATATAAAAATTGAATTGAATGTAATAAATAAATAATGATTTATTTAAACTTTTTTAAAAATAATTCAAAATTTCTTTTAAATATTAAGTAAAAAAACAACAAAAATTTAAAAATTTGCTCTTTCACAATCTATGTTTGCCTCTAGAACAAGTCTATGACTAAAGAAGTGGATCGATTAGAGTGGACACAATGGAACATTTATGTTTGAATGCAAAAGTCTAGAATGACAGACCGATTTTGTTTTTGAATAGTTTACGTTGACAATCGTCTAAGCAACATCGGACCAAAGTAGTTTATGATTTGATTATTTCAACCAATTATCTAACCATGTTTTTTTTATTTATATATATATATATATATTCCTTTTCCATTCTAAAAGGGTCAATAAGCCTCTTCATTATCAATCTATTATTATGAACAAACTCAACATGGGCCTTTTTATTCCCTAATTTTTGCTTTGTATCTATTGGCAATTTGAAGAAATCCTTGTACTGTTTTAAGCGTCCTTTGTTTGTAGTACTTTTGACTACATATATAATAATTTGAAAAAGGAAAAAGGACATGGTCAAGAATGAACATAATGCAATTGTTTGACCAGGAAAAGGGCATTAATAGAAAAGTAAATTAGGCCTGTTTGCTTCAAAGGAAGAAATAGGACTTGGTTGAAATATTCGTAAATATTGGGGTGGAAATTAGAATGGGAATAATAATAAAAGGATAAAAAAAGATGTTAATCCATAGAAGAAGATAAAGCATAATTTAACTAAGCCACATCGTTACGCACGCCTTCAGCCTTTTGAAACTTCATCCGACGTCGTATTAACCGCTTACTCGAAGCATTGCCCCGTCTATTACGCGCTTTTGCATATCTTTGCCCGCTCCTTCTCTCTCTCTCTCTCCTCCTTTTTACTACTCACGCAGCGATAGGAATGGAGACAATCACGAAAGTTGTATTCTTTACTCTTACAATTCACCTACACTGACACAGGAGAAAAGGAAAGAATCACTGTTACGTTTCTTGGATCCGATTTCATCCACCGTGTGGACACCATTTACGCCGTCAAAGCTTCATAGATCTTCGCTTTTCTTCACCGTCGGGATC